CAGAAACCCAATATTTTTATTGTTGCCTTTTTGTTACATTTTCAAAGCCGAAGAGTCAGCGCTGTCCGAAGACGTCTCCGTGGTCATGTGGCCGGCATGATTAAACACCAAAGGTGCACGGAGTGCTGTTCCCTTCCCACCAAAGGTGGCTCCTATTTTTCTACTTGCATTTTTTACGTGCTTTCGAACTGCTAGGTTGGCAGAAGTTGGGACAAGTCACGGGAGCTCCCTCCGTTAAGCGGCGCTGGGGATTAGAGCCACTGAACTGCCAACCTTTCTGATCGGCAAGCTGTGTCTTAGCCATTGAGAGACCGCGTCCCTTCATGACTTAATACTGATATATCTGATACTATAACAATCCTCTTCTTAGCTCATTTGATTCCATTAATATTGTTTTCTATATTGCACTAATCTACTTTCTTTTCTAAATTTCATATTTGTTCTCTAACCACAGGTAGACTAGTTCCCATATAATATAATATTCAGTTTGTTCCTTCTCTTTAATTGCGAGGGTTAACCTATTCATTTCTGCACATTCTAATATTTTCCTAATCACATTCTCATCCGTAGGAATCGCTTCACTTTCCCAGTGTTGTGCACATACAATCTTAGCTGCTTTTATTACGTGTTGTTACAACAAGTGCCGTTGTAACTTTAAACGGTCACTAAACGAACTGTTGTAAGTCAAGGAGCGCCTGTACTTTTAAAGGAACGGCCAGGAAGCTGAGGACTTCCATGTAGTTTGGATGGCTGGATCCTCCAGAGAAAATGTCAAGAAACCGTAGCCGGCTAGTGTTACCCCCTCACGCTGATTGCGTTGGCACAAAGCGTTCACGATGTGTGAAGCAGCTGCTTTCCTTTTAAACAGCATCTCCGCGCAAGATAGCAAGTGAAGTCACCGTGACTTTTAAATCTCCTTTAAGTCCTGCACTCAAGGGCGAATACTAGGGGCTCTGGAGCAGAGAAGGAACCTATTGGGAATCTTTCCTCTTTTAAGTCTCTTTGTAAGCTAGGAAAAAAAGTGGGATAGGCAGCTTCACCAGTAGATGGATTCTCAACTGGTTGACAAGTAGTCCTTAATAACGGGTCCAAGTTTACATGGAGAGAAGTCTTTCTAGAGTTTCCACATCTTTTTTACATTGTGGAGACCAGAACTGAATGCAGTGTTCCAAGTGTGGCCTTACCAAGGCCTGATAAAGTGCTATTAACACTTCACGTGACCTTGATTCTATCCCTCTGTTTATGCAGCCTAGGACTGTTTTTAAATGATTGTCCATTGAATTCCAAGATCCCTCTCACAGTTACTGGCATTAAGTCAAGTTTCACGTAGCCTCTATCGATATCATTGGTTTTTCTTGCTCTACATTGAATTTCATTTTGATATATAGGACCCAGTGAACTGAAGAACTTGAAGGCAGACAGAAATTGACCAGAAATGGTCAAAAATTGCAAGAAATATGGCTTAGAGATGCTTTCCCAAGAAATCTCTTGTTGCCTTGCCTAATGGCCAAATGATCATCCAGCATTTAAAATAGATCGGAGGCCTGCAGAAAAAAATAAAATAAAATGCAGCCGCAGCTTAAAATAAAAACACGTTCTTGATAGAGCAAAGTTAGAATTTCATGCTTCCCCCCTCCCCCCACAGACCTTTAAAAGCTGAGAATGAGAAGTCTGGATTGTTTCCTGTGGCAGACAGTTCCACAGGCTTAGGCCCATGATGGGAAAATTCTCCTGCATGTCTCAATCAACGGCAGAAAGGGAAAAGCCGTTCCGTTGTCCATTCTTGCTTGTTTTCATTCTAGTTCATGAAAGAATTTGGTGAAATCAGAGGAAGCTTTTTTGCCAGACAATTTGGCAATACGTTTTTGGTAGCCTACAACTTCTGTGACAGTGATGGCTAACCTTTTCCGCACCCAGTGCCCAAAGCGGACCTGAATCTCCAAAATGCAATGTATGCGTATGCCCCCGGGCATGCACCCCCCACCTGTGTGTATATCCCCTGCATGAGCCACGCTACCATGTGCATGCATGGCAGAGACCCAAAAACCAACTGGTCGGTGAGAGGCACATGCGCATGTGCCACTTCCTTGCCCACAGAGAGGGTGCTGCCTACCACTTCTGCCACACGCGCCATGGGTTCGCCATCACAAGTCTATCATATATCATCTATCTGTCTATCATCTGTCTATTTCTTCCTCTCATTTATGACCCATCGCTATAATTGGTCCATCCATCCATTGTCTATCATATATCATCTATCTGTCTATCATCTGTCTATTTCTCTCTCTCATTTATGACCTATCTCTATAATTGGTCCATCCATCCATTGTCTATCATATATCATCTATCTGTCTATCATCTGTCTATTTCGCTCTCTCATTTATGACCTATCTCTATAATTGGTCCATCCATCCATTGTCTATCATATATCATCTATCTGTCTATCATCTGTCTATTTCGCTCTCTCATTTATGACCTATCTCTATAATTGGTCCATCCATCCATTGTCTATCATATATCATCTATCTGTCTATCATCTGTCTATTTCTTCCTCTCATTTATGACCTATCTCTATAATTGGTCCATCCATCCATCCATTGTCTATCATATATCATCTATCTGTCTATCATCTGTCTATTTCGCTCTCTCATTTATGACCTATCTCTATAATTGGTCCATCCATCCATTGTCTATCATATATCATCTATCTGTCTATCATCTGTCTATTTCGCTCTCTCATTTATGACCTATCTCTATAATTGGTCCATCCATCCATTGTCTATCATATATC